TTGTTGAAAGTCAGCGAAAAGTTGGAAAGTCGACACAAAAAAATATATTCTACCATGGGGAGACAGATAAGAAGAATGAGTTTAAAAAAAAGTATGCAGTAGAAGTGCTCTTAGCTTGATCCCATTCATCCTGAGACGTAAAGTGGCAGAACAGTGATTTAGCATGTTGCATCGGACGTGAAGAGAGATGGATCGATTCCCTTCTGATACCAATGCTTTGATTTTACTTCATGACGGCGAGTAGAGTTACAAAATCTGCTTTGAAAAAACTTTAAATTTCAGCTATTCCAATGTGAGCCGACTTGTTTATTTACCCGTTACGACTATTCCTGCTTTATGTTACGGTGCAGCAATCATGCTTGCAACTTATGCATTGCTGGATGAGCAGTAATTATTTTTTAACTTTAGCAAAAAAATTAATGTATAATTTCGAGTAAAACTTGTCAGCAATTTTTAACGGTTTTTCGTTTTTTGATAACATTAGAACATGAAAAAAACCAAGATAACAAGAATGCCAGGACAATCGGAATAGGTGTCATCTGTTAGCACAGTTACCGAGATGCTCTCATGCGCTTAGCCGTGCTAGCCCCTGGATTCTGCTCTATGCACCTGCACTTAGTTCCCATCATTTGTTCGAAGTATTTACGTCATCTCTTTGAGGATCGCTCAAATAGCTGTTTCTCCTCGCGAATACCACTCACTAGTGCTCAACGTCCATCGTTTAACGGCAAGGCAATTCAATAATTTTCAACAAAATTTTGGCAAAAAATAAAGAGGTAAATTTTTAGCAACATTGCTTGCACAGTTGTGTCAATTTATTCTGGTTCGCCGCAGCTGATATTTGCTGTTGCCGGCTGCACAGTTAATCTTGCGACTGTTCTTGTATATGTCTTCATGTGGATTTTTCTTCGCCAGAAAAAAGGTAAGCACTCACGGCGGACAGCGATGAACAGCTGCTCATCCTTTCTTCGTCGATGAAAATTATAATTTGCGCCACTTATCACAAGTTATGAGACTGAGGTCCAAAGAGGCATAGACCTTCTTGATCCATTTTTCACGTGCAATGTACATTTCAACAAAGTGTGTGGTAATCTTGGTCGATATTCGCTCGACTTTTCTGACTTACATTTCAGTAAGACTTGTAATCCTGAGCAATGAAAACCCATGCTGGAAAGCACCAGGCTCTCCAGTGCGATCATGCGTTTTTGCACTAAACTCGCTCATCGCTATTAGCAGGAATGATCCCTACGCTGCAGCCTAACAATTGGGTCATATTGATGTGCTTTGATCCTTTCCAGCACGCTGGAGGAAAGATGTCAGTTGGGATGAAGGTGGTGCATTATAGAGCCGCACGCGCATCCAGGTGCATGATTCTGGTTTTT